AAATAGGGGTGTACTACCCCAGTATAAACCATCCATTTTATGTTTGGAATGTCCAATATAAACCATCCATTTTTGGGGTACCCCCATTTTGGGAAGCCTCCATATAATACATTATAATACAACGGTGCATTACTTGTCTCCATCATTGCTCTGGTCACATTCCTTTGCCAAGCCGCTCAGTCAATGGGAACTGCCGGGCATGCAACACCTGGCTGGTCGAAATCAAATGTGCAGATTCATTTTTGTTTAAGGACTGGCCCAAAAAAAAATGTAAAAAATTGATAGGGGTGACCAGCATGAATAGATATAAATAGTAAAAATGCCACGACGGAAACATCTGGAGATGGTCCCACAATCTGATCAAAAAAAACAAAAAAAGGACCTTTGCAGCCACAAAAAAGGAGAGATACAGCAAGCAATCATGAGATTTCGAAAGCAAGACTGATGGATTGAGAGATGCTGGAGAACATGATGAACATGAATGATAAATCTGATAAATGTTGCTTTACTATATATACTATATATATATACATATATACCTATATACATATATATTCATATACATATATACATATACACATATACACATATACACATATATACACATATATACATATATACATATATACATATCTACATATGTACATACGTACATATATACATATTTACATATATTCACCCACCCAACTCCCACATCCACAGGGGGGAGGGCGGAACCATGACCATGGGGGGGAGGGGGGGGGTGTCCCGGAACCTGGAACATATCGATATAATTACTGGCTATTATTGGTTTATATATGGGGAGCAAAGATATTAATATATAACTATGGGTAGTAATATAGATATAGCTATGGTCTATATTAAGATTTATGGGGAGTAAAGCTATATTTACATATATGTATATATATATATATATCCATATAATATATCCATATATATTCTTGGCTTATAAATATTTGGGGAGTTTGTCATGGGGGTTACCCCCCCCCCCCGGCGCCTCGATCATTTCTTCTCCGACAGCGCCCGTGGCGCCCACCACACCCACCTGGGGCGCCCGTCGGATCCGTGAATCGTCGTGGCGGATCCGGTGCCCGTCGTGATGGGAATGATGGGCATTTTTCGTGGGAATATCATCGGAATATCACCGGAATATCACAGGGAGATAGTTGGGTCCTGGGGGACCAGTTGATGGGGTCCACAATTTCCAGCTACAGTTCTTGGATCCTTGAAGTCGGTAACATCCCCAATATTCCCCAATTTAAACCTAAATGGGCAATATATCACTAACATGATTCGGATTAGGCATATCATTGGGAACATGTATTGGAAAGATTAATGCTTTCTGATTTTTCAGTTTGTTCCAATGATTATAGTGAATCTAGCCTCCGGTAATTTTTTTCGTGGCAACTTGAAATCTCTAGAAATTTATAGCTGGTAACATCCAATATTCACCAATGATCAACTGGGAGATCTTCAGGATCCTAAAATGGAGGTACGTAAACGTACCATATATAAGGCCTATTTTGTCAGGCCTAAATTTCAGGGAATATCCCCACAATTCATATGGCCAAACATATGGTACGTTTACGTACCTCCATCAATTGGGTCCTGAAGATCTCCCATTGATATTGGGAATAGAATATGAAATGGGTATAGGAATGTATTGGGAATATCATGATGATCATAGAATGTGTTTTTAATGGAAATATCATCATCCCGAGATGAGAAAGCCAACGGATCCGTATTACCGTATGGATCCGTGCTGATTCCAGATGTAAGCCATATTTCATCCCATATACTCCAATGGTGATATTCCATATATATATATATTATATTATATATTATATATTATACATTTTATATATTATATATTTTATATATTATATTATATATATATTATATTGTATATCCATATATATATATATACAGTATGTAACTGGTCCTATAATCCATTGACAAAGTGGGGCCCGCACCGTAAAGTGGCTGAAACTTGTGGCTTGGTTGAGAATGGGATTGGCCCTAGGTTGGATTGTGGTTGCTTCCCAATTAATATCAAAGATAGTATGGTAGTGTATAATCCCATATTATAATAATCAACCAATAGTTTCAATAGGGCTTTTGGACACTTCTCATATGGAAATGGTACAGCTTGGATATCAAGTTTAAGTAATATGGGTACATATTATGTATTTCAGAATATGGATGAAAGTTGAGCATTAATAAGTTTGGACATCAAGTTTATCAAGAAATTGTGTGCCATGTCATAATTTCACACCGGATAAATCGGGATTATCATAGATTATCAAGATAAAATAGCATTTTGTACCCAATTTATGAGGGTTGTGGATATTTGCCATCTGATTTTTTTAACATAGCCATGGAAAATCACCATTTTTTAGTTCGGTAAACCAACTATTTCTATGGGCCATCTATACCATGGCTATGTTAAATAACCAGAGGGTATGTCCCTTGCAGATCCTTTCATATTTGGGCAATGGTTGGGTATTTTCACAACCATTGATGGAGATCTGGTGGATGGGAAGATGAGCATCAAGCTGTACCAGCAAATTCTCAATGTTCAGTGTTCACCATTGCAGCCTGGCCAAATGATATCAACATATCAAAAAATATCGAATGATTCGAATGTAGTTCCAAGATTTTTCTAAAAAGCCCTGGGGCACTGGCTTCCCTTTTACATTCACTGTCTTAAGTAGCTGGAAAATTGCCAATTGAGTTCAAATGATTTGCCTGTGAAAAATTGTGATTTTCACTAGCTAATTTTGTGGTCTCCCATTGTGATTTCAAAAGCTAATCGTTAATTGATGTGGGATCAAAACCCAAAACATCCCAAAACCCTACCATGACTGGGGATGGTTTTTACAACATTATACAACCCATAAAAATGCTGATGACTTGGAGATGGAATCACCACATGGCCAAGGCTTTCCCATGAATGCCATTGTCACCATCCCATTAACCACAGTGGAATCATTGCCAATCTGCCAGATACCCTGCAAAAATTCATAAAAATTCTGAATGCCAATAAAAAATGTAGATATTCCTGATACCAAAAGACTAGTTAGGATTAAAATTCCTAATGTAAGATTGACCTAGGAATTCTGATTGACCAATGGAATCTGACTAAACGACAGGCCTGGGAGCCTGGGAGTCATCGATCACTTCGAATCTGGCTCGACCCCCGTTCCATCTCATGGTCTGTTGCCATCAAAACGCCAATCAAATCGCCATCATTTGGAGACAAATCTGCGGTGCTGGTATAACTATGGTGGATTATAACTATGTCTTATAATCCAGATATAACTTATATAATCCGATATACTCCCATGTGTACATATATATATATATATAATTATATAATATATATATATAATATCCATACAACTATGGTTATAATAACCCCAATCAGTTGGGAGATAACGCGCCGGAACGCCCTGTGAGCACTGAGTTTCCCAGACTTTCACCATGGCACAGGCAAGGCCCGTGGCTTCCACGGTACGTAAAATCGTCCCGGAAAATCGTCAGCTTGAGCCATAAAAAGTCAGCCCAGTTGGGGCATCAATCCAGAGGTCGTTCGTTCATCATGGCTCCTTGGTGCGTGAGAGGATGTTATGAATTGTTGGTATGAGTATGACTCTATGACTGACTGGCATGCAACCCCGAGAACAAACATTTATTTGATATTGGTTGGTTCGTAGTGGGTATAAACCTTCTGGTTTCAGGACCAAGAAAGGGGTGTCAACCTTTAGCTTTCGAATCTGGCTGAATTACAGTGACGCCGGTGGGGGTCCATCAGAATTTAGCCATAAAAAATCCATGTCCCCCAAACTCACAGAAAATCAGCCAGATTGGTGATTAAGAACCATGGTCACATAATGTCACATAATATGTCCCCATTTTTCGTGGCTTTATCCCATTTAAGGCGGGGCTACATCGCTGTTTGAAATCGGAGCTGACTCAGGACATGGGATCATATTTCATCAGGACATGTGGAAAATCGGCTGGCTGAAGTGTCGACACCCGGGGTGAAGGGTCGTCCTTTTTTGCAAAATGCGCCCACAATTGTACAAGTTGAAGTCGAACCGGAACATGCAGTGCCAAAAAGTTCTTCTCGCACCTGACCAAACAACGCCCCCGCAACACCAGTTGTATCTTCAGGGAACTGAATGAAGCAGCATGAAAATCATGAAACCTACAGAAGACTTGCTGTACCCTCTGGTAAACGTTTACATAACTATGGAAAATCACCATTCTTAATGGGAAAATCCACTATTTCTATGGCCATTTTCAGTAGCTTTTTGTATGTTTACCAGGCCGGGTAATCTGCAGTAAATTCACAGAAATGCCACAGGAGTAATCACAACAGGCTGCTTTGCCACGGCTTTGCCACATCGAAATTACGGATCATCTCAGGGTTGGATCATGACAAATCAACCTCCGGGTGCCATCCACTTGCTCAAATGTGGTAGTGTTTGCCTTGCAAAACCCTATTGATTCTAGCCATTTATGTGAAACGCCAAAATGTTCCCAATTTTTATGCCAGTTGGCTCAGTTGACTCATGATTTTCGCAAACAAAGACCAATTTGTTCCGGTAGATGATCACTGGACTTGATCCATTGGTTTGTGGCTTGTGAAACACGAGATTTGGGTTTGTCTCAAAACAAAAACAATATTTCATGTTTGATAATCAAGATTTATCCATTCAGATTGCCATATTTTTGGAGTATCCATCTCTCATACTATATTGTTAATTATATATCAGAATATACCCTCTGGTAATTTAACATAACTATGGAAAATCACCATGTTTAATGGGAAAATCCACTATAAATGGCCATTTTCAATAGCTATGTTAAATTACCAGAGGGTATCTCTATTTGTTCCCCGTAAAATGCTTGGTTTGATACCTAGTCAATGCTAGTCATATCCGCCCATCTCCCACTCTCGAGGACGGCGAGACACGTCTGTCGCCGTCCCGGCCTTATCCCTCAATGAAGGCGACAGAAATGACAGCCCCATCGTGACCTCTCCCGCAGGAATTTGATCGCATAAATGGATATCAGATGATATCAGATTATATCAACCTACAAACATGTGTGCATATATGCATATAATAAGTTTACATATGCATATATATATATGTGATATACACATAATATACATAAAATTACATACATATTGTATGTATGTATGTATGTATGTATGTATGTATGTATGTATGTATGTATGTATGTATGTATGTATGTATGTATGTATTTATGTATGTATGTATGTATGAATGTATGTATGTATGTATGTATGTATGTATGTATGTATACGTATAACATATGGTTGGAGCTATACGTATAGCATATGGTTGGAGCACGTTTTTGCCGGGGAAAATTATAACATATTTAGAATATATGACCCAGAATTGCCGAGGACCAAGTCGTTTCCCCACTTAGGATGATGGTGAAAATATGGCTGATTTATCTACCATGCGGAGTGTTGCTATTGCGATTTCCTCAATGCCCACATTCCGCCCATGTTCAAAGCCGCATGTCCGGTAAACCACCATTTTCTGCAGTAAAATTACCACATTTGGGAGTAGCATCATACAATGTTGCTTTTATGTCCCAGTATATTGAATAAAGTTCAACTCATATCCACATAAAATTGTCAATGGTTGGTTTAGTCCGTATGCTGCTAGCTTTTTATATATATATATATATCATATAATGCTGGTAAGAACAGAATTGTCCCCAGTAAAATCATGCCAATAACAGTTAGAAAAAGTGCTAATTATGTGTTCCCCAAAAATATCTTGTCCCAACATACTTATTCCCAGAAAATGGTTGGCTGTATCCATGGCCGATTTTAGATGCCCTGCAAACAAAGTTTTTGAGCTGGTTAGGTCAACAAATACCCATTTACAGCAAAGGATGAAAATATGAAATTAGGCCATATGCGCTTGTCTGAAAATGGAGTAAACCCAAGTTTGACAGTTTAATATAGTATCGCATCATAGTTCCATCAAGTTTGCAATTTTGTGGTACACGACCATTTCTGGACACCCTAATCTCATGCTGTTGTTTTCTTTGAGTTGGCCATAAATCTCCCAGTAAAATGCTCCCATTATCCCAGTCTTACTGGTGACATACAACCACATTAGTTAGGGAAACATCGCCATTATCCCATAAATCTATATCCAACAAGATACATTTACATATGGATCGAGATATTTCTATACATATATTGATACATATATATATATACATATGTGTGTGTGTATGTATATGTGTATGTATTTGTCATATCCCCATATGTTTGATAACTGGTAAAACATGCTAAAACCACAAAAGAAGCCCTACATATTGTGGTTATCCATTAACCAAACCTGTTTTAATGGTTCAATCTTGGTTATATATCCCACATGATCCCAATGTTGGTTATATCACCAAGGTAACGTTTTATATGCCGCATTAGATATGTAGTGTGTGTGTATATATATACGTATATGTACATATATGTACACATATATCCCCGAAATTTAAATCATGTCCCAAGCCATCATTGCTGGTTCAATACGGTCGTGACCGACCTTCTAAGACCTTGAGGCACTTTCCTGTGACACTCCACAAGCGGACGGTGCCATCATAGCTGCTGGAGCCAATGATGGTACCTGAAAGCTTGGGACGAAAACATGTTGAAGACAGTAGATAGATGGTTTCCATTTGTTTACCTATCTGACCTATCTCTCTAAACACCTGATTCCAAGCATCTGATTTCATGACAAAAATGGGGTCAAAATGGGTCAGCTGGGTCAGCAAATGGTCCATGCGATCCATCCCCATGAAATTTCGGAGCTTCATCGCCATCCGGCGCACCGTCAGGCGAAAACGCTGCAGAGCGAACCTGGAAAAAAACGCTGAGCGATGAATTGTTCACCCAACATCTCATGGGTAAAATTTTGGGACACATCAAATGCCATATACATCCATATACCATCTGTTACAATGTTGGCCTGCAAAAAGAGGAGCCTTTCAGTGACAGGGTCCAGTGCTTTCGCCACTTACCGGTAAAAGTCCAAGTTATGTTGACTTTTTGTGGGGCATTTCATGACATTTCATGACATTTCATAGATGTGGGGGAATGACAAACAGAAATCGGTTACACATTATTTTCTGCGATGGACTTGTTGCCAAAGAATCACCCTGCCATGGCGTTGTGAAAATTTCACCCTGCCATGCAACATAAGTAAGATGGGTTTGGAAGATTATCATGGCTATTTTGTATCAATTTCTAGGGTCCATCACAAATGAATCCATGTTTGACCTCATACTCGGGATTCAGATCTTCAATTGTTCTCCACCATAGGTATCTGATAGACAAGCTTCAATGAACTAAATTGAACTAAGAGTTTCAACAAGGATCCAAATTGAACATATGTTCATATAATTTCATATGGGACTTCAATATCTTCAACAATTTCCGTTTTTATATTGGAAACATCCAACTAATATATCCAAAATTCGGACTCCGTCCCGTCCATTCTGGCTCGGTTGGCTCGGTTCCCGCACCCAATCGTCATGACCCGTCAATGTCAAGACCTCGATGATTCACGTCGACGTTTTTTTTCCATGCTATGGAAAAATAGGTGGATTACCATTGTAAATTACCTAAAAACACTGAGAATCTACTATAGTAATGGTAATGATTGAATCTACTATAGTAATCGTAATCCTACTATAGTATAGTAATCATTACATCACTATAGTAATTATCATGACATCCTACTATAGTAAACCTCAAAACAAGATAGAGATGTCATTGATCACTTTTTGCTAGTAGGATTTTACTGTTCTACCCGATAAAAAGGGTGTTGCTAACTCAAAGATGCCAACCCTCGATCAACAGCTACTACAAGGTGGTGCCCCATAGTTAGCTAAGTTGGTGAACATGACTCCAGTCACTGAAAATCTATAATGATATATCGAACTAGTTATATAATGAGGATTGTAAACAACTTCTAACTGGGGCACCCAGTGCTACCAACTTCGGGTAGGCCGCATATATACCCTTTCAATCAGCGAAGTGGTGTAGCAACCCTCCGGGACCACGTCAGGGCCTGACGAACTGGGAATATCGAAGAATCAGCAGTTGCAGTACCCCTTCGTAGAGCGCCACAACACCAGAACGAATCAACAAGGACCATGGACCATCACGGCACTTGGCTACCCCAACATATGATTCCCGGGTGCCTCAAGGGCCTGCACTTCTTTAAGTGGTTGCCTAACTTTCCCCTGATATTCCAGAATTTCTTCTAATATCATCAGTGTTGCTTCAAAATCCCCAAACAACAACCACAATCCTCCTGCTTGAAGGATCATCCTCTTCCTGGTTGCTGCCCCAAGGGGGCCCCTTGGGACCCCTTGGGACCCGGACACACTCACCATTCTCTGCCTCAGCATGTCGCTATGAAAACCACCACTGAGATTGTCCAAAAATGAGAAAAAATAGATAAAATTAGCACCCTATTCGGGACGCATTGCGCCGTAATTCTTCTCAGACTTTGGATGTTTGGCCATGAGAAAATGTACCTTATAACATCTTATAACTTCCCAGGGCGAATCCTGCCATGATATGTTCGCAAAGCAGCTTATGTAGACCAACTCACTTGTCGTTTGGGTGCCAGGGGGCCCTTCTTTTTTCATCCTCTCGCAGACAATAAAAGGCACCAAGGAACATCGAAAATGCGAAGGCTCTCACTAGCGGAAGCCAACAACACCTGCCGCGGAACCAGGGTCACAAACACAGAAAGGAGCCGCATAGTTAGGATCCCCAAAAAGATCCAAAAAGATTCTGGATTTATGGTACTGTTGATGGTTGCGAAATCCTGCACCAGTTGAAAACAGCGGTAAACATCCCATTGTTTGTAGGGGTTCGACCATCCAAGGTGGTGCAAGATTTCTTCGATCAGTATGTCATGATATTTCACCAATCTGACTTGCAAAATGTTGGGCACTTCCCATATGGGAAAGTGATGTGGTAAAGTGAGGTCGAAGCAATCCGCGCTTGGAAATGTCTAGGGTTTGAGCCATTGGCAATCCATCTCCTTAAGTTGAATAATCCGTGACTAGTTACAAGAAAAACATCATCTGGTTGGTGGTTGACCTACCCCTCTAAAAAATATGAGTTCGTCAGTTGGCATGATTATTCCCAATATATGGAAAGTCATAAAAGCCATGTTCCAAACCACCAACCAGTCATGGTAAAGTCATTACAAATCAAACAGACTAACTGTGCAGTAGTCTCCGATGCAAGCCCCATATGGCCCATAACTTTGATTCATACTAGTTACTAATCACCAAAAAAGGCACAATTAGTGTTGAATCCCCATGACATGTAGTAAAATAATTATCAGTGGGTTTCACTATAGTAAAATAATTAATGTACTTGTTTAAATCCCCATAATCATTAAATTAATCAGTGGGCAAATTCATCAAATTCCCCATGTTTCAAACCGAACTCCTTGACCCGGCCTTCTGTCCATCTGGCGAGAAGACGGCATCGTTTACCACCTGCACAGACAACAAAATGGACGCTCCAAGCTGGTATGGTTTTATACTTTATATATAATATATATATACATAATATATATATATATATGGTTGCTTATTTACTTACATAATTCATTTACTTACGTATTTTGTTCATCTATTTATGTGATATATATATAGTATATGTGTATATGGATGATTTGAAGCCATTCTATTCATAAATTGGTGGATTGGCATGCTGTGACGTGTGGCACTCCGTGGATCCTGCACGGTGATATCTTCTTGGAAAATTATCATTGGTGACTCTTGGGCATCTAAAAAAAAACGTATCTAGATTCTAGTCGGACTTTTTTTCTATAGTAAAATCCCAATAAGCCAAGATTTTTTTCGAAAAAAACCATGGGATTCTCCATTTCCATCAACACCGAATCCAGAAAAATCGGATCGCTGGTTTCTTCAAGGCCTTGCCATCTCCAGGGATGACCAAGTGACAATTGCCACTGACCTCGATCGTTAAACTCTACCTGCTCTTGGTGGTTTCAATGGATGAAAAAATATATTGGGAATAATCATTGTTTTTATGACTTTGCTGTTAAATTTTAAATTTTATGACACTGCATTGCCTCTAACCATTCAATAATCATTGTTTTAATTAATCATTGTTATAATGTTATAATCATCCATATATTGGGAATAAAAAAAAACACTTATGATAAACAATAACAATAATCCATGTCAATGGATTGGTTCAAGGGGAAATCTTCACCGGAAACCATGGGGTTTTTACCATCAAATATAGGGTTTTCCGGTTCCAATTTTCCCATCATCAAAAATTCTGTGAGTTGGTGGTTTCAACCATCCCATCTTGAAAAATAAAAAAATGTGGATGATGATTCCCAATGTGCGGATGATTAACAATGATTGATTAACCCTATCTGGTAACAATAATGTCCTTTTGGATATCAAGTTTAAGTAATATGGGTAAATATGAAGTATTCCATAATATGGATGAAAGTTGAGCATTAATACTGGTTGGTGGTTGATCTACCCCTCTCAAAAATATGAGTTCGTCAGTTGGCATGATTATTCCCAATATATGGAAAAATAAAATTAATGTTCCAAACCACCAACCAGATAATATCCTTTTGGTAAAAATAGAGGGGCCAGTTTGGTATACGATTAATCAACCAACCAATGGGAAAAAAAACATCTATGATGAATGATGACAATACCCCATTTCAAGAATCGAAAACCAATAGTTCGCAAAAACTTGTTTGACCACAACATTGAAATTTCAAGCTTACATGATTGATCATTTTTGTGTACTCGGCTGCTTGGAGCTTTACAAAGTACTTTTTAAGAGAAAACATACAGGCATCAAGAGATCTTTTGGCTCAGGGACTTTGAGTATCCCGTGGAGTAAAGTTGGATAACTACAAAGTCTAGCGAACAATAAGTGAATAACAGCTGTATGTCTGTATGTATTGCAAAAACTGATGTATGATGATGTATGATAATGCATGATGTATGATGATGTGTGATTGTTTGCAAAAAACAATGGCACTCCCAATGCACAAGCTCTGTTGCGAGGGAAGCCAATGCCTCATGAAAATAGATTATGTTGATGTTGCCGTGTCTTGGCAGAACCCAAGGGTAGCCCCATCATCTTGAAAGGTTTCGATCACTTCGTGGTGGGTTGGTAAATCTCCTATTTTCCACATCACCCAACAAAAAGAGAATGTCATCTTCAACAAAGACGGTTTCAAGTGATGTTCAAAGTCCCCAAAAACGGGACATTTACCAACCCCACCAACTACCAACCAAACTTCATGGCTGAAAACCCGCGATATCACCCTCTTCATTTTTGGCCAAGTGGCCACATCCCAAAGCCGTGCGGTGCCATCATAGGCAGAAGATGTCAAGAGCCGTTGGCCATCCTGGGTCCGGCCCCAGCCCTGAAACCATCGAGGCCAACGTCGGATACCCCGAAAACAAATCAGTTGGGAAAAATGGTATGGCTTTTAAGAATTAATGGAGCTTATCTGCAGCTTTTCCAGATGAACAGAAATGCTCCAGATGGGAAAAATGATCAACTAGTAGGTAGTGTATTTTCCGGTACCGGATTTTCGGACGAAGCATCTCAAATGATTCACGCGTCGTTGGTCTCCTAATTGTACATGGGATGTCCCTGCGTAGGCGACTTTCCAACCAGAAATGTCAACATGTTCACCAAATACTCCAATTCCATCATCTGAAATTCAAATTTGGATGATCACTGAATAGACATGAATAGACTGTGCTCCATATGGAATGGCAATCTAAATCTGCTGGCCTGCCGGCGTGTCTTGTGGATCTTGTCCGCTCGTAGTTGTACTGTCTGTTTTGTCTTTGTCTTGTCTAGACTTTCCCCTTGGCGCGGATTTTTGCCTCGTCTAACTTGAACCCCCCCTCCTCCCCCCTCCCCACCTAGCTCTTCTTCGTTTCGTCTTGATCTTTCCTTACGTTGTGGTGGGCTCAACTCTGCCCACGCCTCGCTGAACACCGGCTCGGTTTTGCACATCTTGCTGTCATTTCGATGGTTGCTTCCGTTTTTTGTTGTGTTTGCCATCGGTTTGCTCCGTCCCTTCTTATATCCAATACTTGATCCACTGGCTTTTGTGCCGAACACCTTCTACACGCCTTTTCCGAAGCCGTTCTTAATATGGCTTTTTCCAAAACCCTGGTTTACACACATGCTTTGGTTTAAACTTAAACCGTGGTTTGAACAAAACCAATGTTTTTGCGTCCAAACCATCTTTTACACAAAGAGCTGTTTTACACAAAAACTGTGTTATCCACAAACACCATGTTTTACACAAAAGCCATGTTCTTGCTGGGCCTGTGCAAGGGCTGCTTGCAGCCTATAGGATAGCTCTTTCCATGGTGGCCGGCGGAACACGCCGAAGGCGGGTAAATTTCAAAATGAGCCAGTGGAGCAGGCTCTTGAACATATGACGCAACTCGGCCCCATTCGACACGGACAAGGCTGGAGTGGATGCAAACGGGAAATATCATGACGACATTTGGTTTCCAAAGTCATAGGGCTACCCCAAATCATCCAAGTCATTGGACCCTTTTTAATATTAAAAAGCCAACACCCATGGTGACTTGGGCGTTTCCTCCATTTTAGGAAACCTATGGAAAGCTACACATGGGAGCTCGTGGCACAGCAACACAACGACGTGGTTTTATTGTGACATTCTGAAAAAATCCTCCTGATGGGGGTTGGATCCTCATCATTATTTACCGGTAAACAAACACTTCGCTATTGAAAATGGCCCAGTCGAAATAGTTGATTTACCCAGCTATAAAATGGTGATGGTCCATCGTTTTTTGTATGTTTACCAGCCCGGGTACCCTCTGTTTATTTAAAAACTTCACACTGTGAGCGGATTGGTGGAAGCCATGGCCCATGGGCCGCTCGATGATAGCTATGACAGGACTGTGGACCTGTACTGCTGTCGTTGATTTGTTGCTTGGACAATGCCGCAATTTCATTGATGAAACTCCCATGTAAAAATTGCCAATCCCGGATACCAACCACAAAAAGAAATACCTGGTTAGGGTTAGATTCCGATCAAAAGATATCAAAAGGGCATTTTTAAGATGATTCATCCTTTTGAATATTACCCCCATTTAAAACTAACATTTCGATGTGGAGTGGTTCCCACCATAGTATTAGGATCATTTCCCAAGGCTTTCCCCATGGGTTCGCCACGCGACTGGTGCAAACTTCACGGAGCTAATTGCTTTGCTATGCCCTGGCGAGCGCGAAAAAAATGGGATTTCTTTGGTTATGGATCATCCATATAGAATCCATATGGATCATCCCATATACCCTCTGGTAAACTAACATAACTATGGAAAATCACCATTTTTAATGGGAAAACTCACTATAAATGGTCATTTTCAATAGCTATGTTAAATTACCAGAGGGTATAAGTGGTGATATGGTTCATATGTGTCGTCGTTTGAGGTTGCTATTTCTGGGGATTGGGTGATACCGATATCCCCTAGAATCCGGAGCCTAGATTCCCTGCCGGCCGTGTTTGTTTCTACTCCCTATTTTGTCTGGTCTCCAAATTCATTTCACGAAAAAAAAATACTCTATTGCTTTTGGGGTGTCCATTGCAATCCTTATCATGGCTACATTAACCCCTATGAAGGGGGTTATGACCATCCTGGAATACTGGCTATCTCATCCAATTTCAGATTATATATATATATATATATATGCATGCATATATATATATACCCATCATGTAATATACCATATTGAATCACCAGTTGTTTTTCGCAGAAAAACATCCATCTAACCGGACTTAAAACTTCTTAACATTTGGAAGACCTCTGGCGTTTTAAGGCTTTTTTGTCTTGGCGACCAGATCTCCGGTTACAGCCCCAGCACACCTCTGTAGACTTGTAACAACTTCCCAGAGGGCACTGCCTGCAGTTCGTGGGAGCACCACGCTGATTCTGGAAATGCGTGTGTATAATATGTAACATAATGCTATAGTATATGCATTTCTCATATATACATATGTATATATGTATATAGACATATGTGTGTATATATATGTATATGTATGTATATGTATATATATATATATGTATGTATATGATAATATACTACAATATAATACAATATAATATAATATAATATACTATAATGTAGTGTAATATGACATAATATACTAATATATAGAATAATATATAGAATAATATATATGTATATATATAGAATAATATGTATTTATAATTATCGAATTATATATAAATAGTAATATATGTGCGTGTGTAATGTTCAGCCTTAGGATTAAACTATTGATTTTGACAGCTTCTAGTGCTGATTGTTCCACCTTTACTTGGCACCTACAATCACCAGATTTTGGAGTGGTACAATTCCTACAGTTATGGCCTTTAAGGGTTATAAATGGAAATATAACTCCTATAACTAGGGTTATATATGATTATAAACCCATTTATAACTGTTAAGGGCCATAACTGTACATGATATATGTTTGAACCCAGGGCCGTCTTGCAAACCCACATTCGGAACCCAATCTGTACATGTCAGCACTTCCCTTACAAAGATACATGTCAGTAAATGTCAGCACATCATATGTGTCAGCATCTGCATATATGTCAGTCTAGATGCTAAACACCCACTCATGCAAATGATGCCGATGTAATCAGTTGAAAAAAATAAACAATGAAGTCGTAAGCACACATGTTCGCCCATATGTCATATATGCCGTTGTTTGTCACTATACTACCTCACTCTTGGAAAATGCAGCTGCTCACATTGAGAGGCATGCGTGTGTAGGATGAATTCAAAAGCAGGAGTTCAGGAGCAGTCATGTGCCATACCTAGTTTTTGATGTTTTTGCAGGGCTTAAGCTCTTCCAAGTTTGTCAGAATCCTGTGCCTTTCACCCTAAATTTTTCCAGCTTCCAGCTTCGGTCTTCCAGCTTCATTTTTCACCCATTTTTGTCCAACATCTGCGGTTCAACTGATCCAACCCGGGAAAGATCCCATGATTGCCAGCTTGGGAGTTGCTTTCGGAGACATCCCGACAGAATTGAGCAGTTTTTTGAGCAGGATTGATTCTTCCAGAATTAGCTAGTTTTGGCAATTTTCTGTCATACCAACTATAGATATAAAATGATATGTTCATACAGAAATATCATAGTTACCATCTGGTTATTTAACAGTTCGCCATGGAAAATCACCATTTTTAAGTTCGGCAAACCATCTATTTCTATGGGCCATTTTCCATGGCGAACTGTTAAATAACCAGAGGGTATTTTTATTGGCTCAACGGTATGACCGTAGAGAGGAAATTGAAAAAATCACCACGGGGTTGTCCTTTCTGCTACAGCATTTATTATCATCTACCTATTGGTTGCTGAAAGGGGGGAGTCATCTATCAACCAACCACTGGGAACAATTGTTTCAATTGTGATACACCTGTATAGTATATAGGTAGTTATGATACTCGTTGATGATAGAATTGTCAAATATATATATATATATAGCATCTAGCTAGCTAAATCACTCAAAATTATCATTACAGTCTATATATAGGGTATAGTGTATCCTAAGTCTTATTATTCATTATGATGCACCTATATTCACTATGTAGTATATTGTAATCCTTATCAACTTATCATTATATCATCGTCATCATCATCATCATCATCATACTACAATGAATTAGATATATCAAATTAATCATACCAATACTATATGTGGGGAATCCAGATACTATCATTATACTCCTTATGTACTCATATAGTTAACTAAATATGCATTCTAACACTTGGATTGTCATATTATAGTAATATGCACTATATATGATCAATTAAGATCACTATATAATGGCAATATTTTCTAGCATATAGTAATATTCACTTTGTATTCACTATGTATTCACTATATTTTTTCACTCATATTCACTAATCACTATGTATTCACTATATGGTTACCCTCTGGTAAACTAACATAACTATGGAAAAACACAATTTTTAATGGGAAAATCCACTATAAATGATCATTTTTAAATGGCTATGTTAAATTACCAGAGGGCAAGTAAAGATTCCCCAAGTCTTCTGCGTTTTTTTTCTCCATGAAGTCCCAGGGCGGGCCGCTTCAAAAAGTCCCTGGGCTTCGCACCCAGACCCGCGCCGTGCCATCGGCCGAGGCACTAGCAGCCTGGGAATCAACGACGTCCCCATGGTGGATGGCTAGTAGTGGTTAATAGTGGTTAATAGTGGTTAATGGTGGTTAATGGTGGTTAATGGTGGGTGATGTATTGATATAATCTGGGTAAATTTCATCACGACCGAACCCTGTTCTCCCGAACCCTGGAATAATGGTTAGATTGTGGGAAATGATCCCCTTTTATGGCCCAACAATTCAGGTTAGTGAAATATCATAATTTACCCAGTGGATATGTTTGGGGAATTTCTGGATATTTCTGGAAAAAAAACCTCTGGTAAATTCACACTTCGACCCGAAAATCACCCATTTTGAGTGGAAACTCATCTTCCAACCCCGAAAAATGCCAGGGTCAAACTGTTAATTTACTGGAGGGTAGCCTCTGTTAATGATCAATTGACCTTGATGACAAAAGATAAAATTAATGGGATACCCCTCTGGTAATGGAAAATGTATGGGTTTTAATGGAAAATCATGGGTTATTAAGGGAAATGGATGGGAATGTAATAGGATAATGCTTATCAATTTATCAATCAAACACTAATATTATTTGGGAGTATCATTGGGAAAATATATTGGAATAGAATTGGTACCTATTCAATAAAGAGCCAATAATGTTAGTGATACATTCTCTGGCAGTCAAACATCGCTTCCTGGGAAATCCCAACCATAAATGGAGGTTGAGTTCGCTAGGAAAATCATCTATGGATGATGCTAGTTTAGTTGGTATGATGACACCACTTGATAAGCCCGGGGTTGAAACATGTTGAAACTGCCAACCAGGTAGAATCCCATACTCCTAATATGTAAAATAAAACAATAAGGGTCCCAAATATGTGTAAATCCCCTCCATCCAGCGTGGTTTTCTTTGGGGGTGTTGATGTGAACCGAGGAGGGGATTACGGGCACAAAATGGAATCTTGCGACCAAGAACCAAGACTCTAAGAAAAGAGCCAGAAACGAAGCTTTACAACCACACTAAATTTAAACCACCAAGAATTGGCTCCGAACAATTGGAAATGGGAATCCAATCATGGACGAACAGCTTCAACGAAAAAAAGGACTTAACAACCGTACTTGGAGTTGACATAGTTTAACCGTTTAACCACAAAAAAATGAATAATGTTGTAAACCCAATAAATCAAACCATGCCATCAACCAACCATTGGGGTTCATTCCACATCATTCCAAACCTAATAATGAACCCAATAGAGGTTGGGGATGGTTCGTTGTTGGGTCACCAAATTACGGTGCAGGTTCGTTGTTTTGCTGATTGATTGATTTTGGGGAATGCCGCGGCCAAAACTCGCAGTTATATAAGTGTGTCTGGCTGGTTGTTGCCCTGTCTTTTGCTCTGTTCCGAGCCACAGAAGTCATAAGATTGGCCTATGCTCGATGGTGTATCTTACAATATGGTGAAACTATATGCTTTGCTAGGTTCATTGGCAGCTATCCACTACTGTCCACGTCATCTGTTCGACGGGTTTACCACTAATTATCTATGCATTATCTACATTATCTAGCCGGTCGTGTTTACATGTTTAGACTACTTCCCTCCAAACCCCATGTTCGCTCATGCCAAAGTAATAAGCCCAGACAATATACTTGTCACCAGAGGATGAATGAAAACACTGGCTGTACCGCGCGATTTTGACTTTAGGCTTTCAGGATTCAGGGTTTTAGGGCTTAGGGATTCAGGGTTTCAGGTTTGTTTTTGGAAAGTCAAAAAAACCTGAGCCCCACGCTGGGATTTGAGCATGTCAAAGTGGGATCCGTCACTGATCAAACTCTTCTAGGTATTTCCGCGAGAGTCAACTGGTTGATTCACCCGATCACGGATACTGACAAAAGAAACTCTATGTTCAACACATCAATCATCTATTGGTAGTGGATGTTCCATTGCTATGTCAGATCGCGAGAGGGGAGAGAGAGAGAGAGAGAGTAAGTCAAGCGGTCAAGCAATTCTCCCTTGCTTGAATACCCCATCGAGAACGATCTCATTGTTTAGGTGGAGATGTTCCATATATTCCTCCCTCAATTGGTGGTTTAAAAAAAAAGGCGGCATCTATCATTTACCATATTTACCAACGTTCCCAAAACTCCCATGGTTGATCATCAATTTTCATCATCAACTCAGAAAAACTGTCGCATATTTTCTTCGTGTCAAAAAAACACGGAGTGGAACCCACGTATCTTTTTCAAACGCCCAATCAACCTGGCGTTGGATCTGGATCGGATCATCTTCTGGTCATCTCATCTGGGTCCCCGAACCATCTGCCCACATGTACTAAAGTCAACACTCTTCACTACGTCACTGTGCCCCTCCTGCGCAACTCAGAGGGTCACCAAAAAAAAACTGTACATCTCAAGTTATCTCCTAGATTTTTTCGTGGTGATTTACTTCTCTATGTCTGTTTGGATTGTTTTATACTATTTTATACTGATATGGTTAAAGCCGGATTTAGGAAGTTGAGAATTGAGATATAGATACACATGACGCAAAACGTTGGCAACTTGACCAAAAAATATGGAGTTCACTCATATTTCTGAGGAACCTGTAGCTAAACGATGATATCAACTTCAGAAAAACTCGGATTCAACCAGCCCGTTTTTTCGGATGTCACTGCCAAGATCTTGGATTTTTCAGCAACCTTTTTTAAACGCTTCAGAAAACAACAGAAGTATCTCTTTGTCGCCTCAACGACTACCGCCCCCTTTGAAAAATGGGTCCGGAATCCCACAGACTCCCATGAATTTCAGCACCATTTGTTGGTACAAAGACCAACTGAATCTTCAAAATCTTCAATTTTGGTGACTCTCATCTGCTTCAAAATCTTCAAAATGTTGGAAATGATTAATGAAAAGATTAATGAAAATCAAAAAATCCATGTCGACAACAATTCTGCTTAAGGGTTTCTCCGAGAAAAACCGGTACCCCAAAATCCAACGGTTTAGAAAATCATTTACCCTCCAGTAAATTAACATAGACCCTGCCATTTTTCGGGGTTGGAAGACTAGTTTCCATTAAAAATGGGTGATTTTCAGGGTCCAACTGTTAATTTACCAGAGGGTACACTGTTGTTGAATGTCCGGGGATGAATCCTCCATCTTTGAATACATCCGATATTGTTATATCCCTTTACATCCAATGATAAATCTCCATAGTGCGAAATCGTTGCTTTGATCTCTATTAAAAATATGCCATTGATTCTGCAGTTCAGATGTTTCCGAATTGCAAATTTGTGGGCTAAAAACATATGGGTTGGTTTCAAAACCCTCTGTCGTCCGTTTACCGCCTTATAAAAAAAGGATTCCCATAATGGATTTTGAGAATCCACAGTACATTGGGCAGTACGATCCGAAAAAAAATCTCCGAACTGTTTTTTTCAACAGGGTTTTTCAACATTTTTCAACCTGCAACACCAAACAAAAACCATATAAACCCCTCCCTCATCGTTCTCATCGTTTGGCGCTCAAAATCCCCCCCCCCAGTCCAGGGTGCACAAGCGCATTCCATTGGAGGACCAAATCGCTGCCGTGCCGTCTCCCGCACCTGGAAAGACTTTCAAAACAGGCAATGGAAAAGCCTCAAATTTCATGGAAAACACGTTTATATATATATATATGTATATATACACATCATGTATTAGTATATATATATATATATTTGTATTGTTGTTGTTTCAATGTAGTGTATCTATTATATGTATCATATGTATGATGTGTATTGTATCCATTGTATGTATTACATGTATTAGATCTTATAGTATGTATATATATATATATTGTACAGATTATGTATATTGTATGTATATTCTGAATATGTACCCTATGATTCAAAAGGCCCTTCAAAAGGAGGCCTCTGTACAGAGGCCCTATCCTGGAGTAAAGGCCCAAATCCAGTAGGCCAGATTTGCAGCATATTTCATGATATATAGATGTCATATATCTGACATTTATCTGACATATATGTGACAATTCTCCAAGCACACCATCTCAAGATAAGGGGGCCAAACAACACCACACTCTTCATTTCTTTTTACCGCGTTCGCTTCAAAAGATGCTTGTGACATCTCCGCGCAGCTGATGCATTGAGCCTCAGATTGGCCCAACTGACATTTGTAAATTTTAAACCTGACAAAAATTGTCATATGGGAGTTGCGATGGATGTAGGGAACAAAACCTTGCTCTGCCCATAAAAAAATGCAGATTTGGCTATATATAGCCTAGTCACGTGTGAATCATGGATTTCATCGATGCAAGCCTGATCATTGTAATTCGCATGATGAAGCGGTTTCTGGTGAAGGGGTGTGCTCTTTCTGAGATTCCTGAGCAGCCGATCATTTGAAAAGAACAGATGAGCTGAGTATATATAATATAAATTATGGGTAATTATGGCCTATAGATTCCCAAATCGATGATGCACAAAACCGCCTAACAAAAACTTGCACCGGAAAAACCTACGCAATAGTACGCTAAGACCTAAGTTTCGTTTCAGCCACTTCATTCCGTCCTCGTCACCAAAGCAATGGTGAAACCGGCTGTTGCGTCCATACTTGCGGCAATCATGAATAAGATGTAGCATCAACTTAGCTAAGATTATTAGCCAGTGGAAAAAAAACTAACCCTGTGTATACATCATGCATGTGTGTACCATACCATGAAACTTCTAAAACAGGGGCCTACTCAAACGCAAGTAAATACAACTGGAAAAACTTTTGTATAACTGCAAAAACCACCATGTACCAAGCAACATGAATTTTTGGGCGCACTCGGAACTCATCCTTTTGATTCCTACGCAGGGATCACCCAGGGGAGAAAAACAGAAAACCCACATGATACTAACAACGGGATGGATCATAAAAAATAATTCCCATATGTGTATGTTAATCTAACATTCCTCGCCTGATGGCAAGTTTCGCCAGCTCAAGATACCTTTGCACAAAACGCATCCCAGATTGCACAACGGGTGCTCGCTCTGCTTCATCCAGGTATCTCCCACCCCGTTCGGTGTAGCCATAGTATTTAGCCAAGGCAGTCCTAGGTATATCAGAATTCCAAGATCCCATGAAGTAAAACCAAATTCCTGGTGGGAAAATATGGGAAACTGCAACAGCCATTAGATCAGAGTGCTCACGTGAAACCATGCAAGCAAAACAGGCATGCATGCACATATATATATATATGAGAAATTGGCTTTCAAGAAACAATTTTAAAATCTAATTTAGTTTAAACCAAGGTGCGCGCATGAAGCCAAAAGATCTACTTGATGCTCAGGGTCTGGGTACAGATTAGGATGTTCAGATGCATGGGTAAGACACCGTGCCAACCACTCTGTGAGAACTCGTCCATTGTAGGCTTTGGCAGTGAATACAGTGCGACCATCGCGTTTGAAGATCTCAGCATTGAGCCGAACTTGGCAAGTAGACATTGGAAAACTACCAAATGAATCTATCATAAATTTAGTGCATGGGGAAACATTGAGAAAAAAATGCCAAGAATTACGACAAAACACCATATAAGCTTTGAAAGGCGGCTGGCTGCATTGGATCTTTTGGGAGCGAAGCCATTGTCTGAACTCATCATACGCATGGTCTAACTTCTTTTGCAAGGGCAAATCGGTATTCTCCAGCGAAAAATAGTTCAAGCGAAGTAAGCATGCCCTAGGATCGAGAACACAAAATATGAGGAAAGCACACTATACATGAACATAATTCCTAACTGTCATGAGATCTTGGCAAAAAGACATGCACACACACACACAAAAGAAAAACATGATATAAAACTTGATAAAACATGTGTCCTGCAAGTGTCATGCCCACACCATTCACGTCATATCCAATTCCAAGATTCAGAGTATGCATTGAGCATATCTGAAGCAACTGGGGGTGAAACCCGTATAGAAGAATCAAGGGACCTGAGATGCAGGCAGGACAGGTGGACAATGTGGATCATAAATTGAACCAATTTTCTTGGGCCCTTAAATTGTTTTCCCCACACAGAATCAGTAAATCAGAATAAAAATGATTGAATCGGCTATAGGGCCAACAGTCCAGCAAAGGTACAAGGTCTTTGGCGATGGCCAAGTTGGTTGACGATCCATTCCGCTAAGCCATATTCATGCCAGCTAGGATGTTCATCCCAATGATTGAAGTAGAGGGTAGAGCATGGTCCTTCAGCTCTAGCGGTACACCGATAACATATGTCTTTCTTTCTTCTCCAATTCCAGGATGAGGAAAACCCAAAGCATTCCTTGTGCCATAACCAATCCCCTCGTAATTCAGTGCAGGTAAACTTGCAGCCACCGGCCAAAACCTGGCCATATTCATCCAATCCCTCATACAACAAATTCAAACTGTAGGTCACTCTTTGCAACACGGTATCCAGGGTAGATCGTTTCCAAAGGCGGGACTCTTCACAAGCCCAAATGCAAAATCTAGAGCACCTCGTTGATTTCGCTTTCCAAAGTGGCAAGCTAATGAACAATCCCAGCATTTTTGTAGGGCCATTGTGAATCCGGCATGAATCTCCATACGAAGCCAGGGGTATGTGCATATCTGAAGCTGGAGACTCCATTGCCCATGGTTCTTTTGCTACATTGCGTTTGATGTGCCAGAATTCCTTCACAGCCAGGGGGTCAATTCTCATACCAACCTTTGTAAACAGGTGGTGGATCAACTTGTGAGGGTCCAGCACCATGGTGGTGGTATCTTCAAACTCATCACTGACCCTTTTTTTGGTCATTCGCACGGGGACTGCTGCAACTTCCTCAGATAGATGTCAAATGATCTATCAAAAACAAAATAAAATCCCATTGGCCCAAATTAATTTCAACAGTGTTTCGCCATGATATTGCATTCAAATATAAATGAAATAACAAAAAGATGAATCAAACCAAATTTGTTATGTTGATAGCCGTTTGGTGGTTTATACTTGGATGGGGCCCTCATTCCATCAAATTAATAGTAAAACTTGAGCTAAGCATAGACCCTAGAATCCAAACCCCCAAAGTCATAGAGTCTCATGAAGTCACGAGCTTCATTTCCAGGAGCTGTGAGGCCCAGTCTCTTGCTACCTTCATGGCAAAACCCCTTGCAATCCTGCATGCATGGGCTGCATAGGTCAAAACCATGCTAGCTGCTAGGTTTATTCGACAATATTCATGACTGGATAATCATGGATGGTCATTGTAAAATCAGGATCTAGCAACCAAGCTTGCTGAAAATTCCACCAGTGACCAAAGCATCCCATGGTTGGCCATGCATGCATGCATGCATGCATGCAATGAAGTTAAATTGACATATGTACCGTATCGGATTCTCAACTAGTACAGTACGTATCATTTCGATCTGCATAATATATATATATATTATTTTAAATTTAATTAAATTACAAATTATATATATATATAATAAATCAAAAAATAATAACTATATTCACCTGCCATTGTACTATTTGCCCCGGTGTCCTCAACATGGCTCCTTGTGCGTTTGAGCGCTGCTCGGAAGCTGGAAACCTGAAATGAGATGGGCAGTGGCAAGGGAACAATACCAGGGGAAGGAAGGTAATCAGCCATGGTCACAATTATTTTTGATATGATCACATGGTTGTATATTGTTGTCCTGGATTCGGCATCTGAATTGAATTCAAGAAACTCCAGAGGAAAGTTCGTTCAACACAGTGCTCACAAAGGGGCCGTCTGAATCCTGCCAGTAGTTGTCACCTGCGTTGGGAAGAAGAGATTGATCTGGTTATCTAAATAATGTATAGTGACTATAGGGGTGTTGCAACGCTATGCATGCCATTTTGAATATCGATCTCTTCATTTTGGATCATGCAGGTCATTCAGATTCAATAGTTTTTTCTGCATAGTGCCGATCAATTTCGAAACTTTGTGCAGCCCAAAAGCGATTTGCCAGGCATCATCTTTCATTTATCTTGAGAAAAACCCAAAGTTGAACCATATTAAATTTATATTGCAGATCAATGATATTGATAAAAATTGATTAGTGAAGAATTTATGGCACCCTTGGCAACCGCTCATGTGCACATGCCGTATATATTCAGTTTGATGGCGCCCTGTCCTTTCCAAGCAAAAATGGGGCCAAAGCAGAATTTGAATGATGACCAATGAAGTCAACTGGGTCGAATATGACAACATAGCAATCAAACATGGTTAACATATATTGGCCTAGGCCCCACAAAGTAAAAGGGTTTATGGGCATCCAGCCATCAGTGAACCACTAGGTCCGCTAATCTAGCATTTGAACTGTTCCAAAAAGGCTTTGTAGTTCCTCAGTGCGATTTCACCCGCTTGGACAAGCTTCTTCAAGCCTGCTTCTTCCTGGGCATGGTGTTGGCTTGGCCAAGGTCATTTTCAAAAGAAATAAATTTAAATGGAAATTGTTCGATACAGTTTATTTTGATCATGAGTCCAAAGAAAGCTCGATCTAGCCTCGTTCCGGTCGATGCCATTTTGCAAAGCATCTCGGACTCTCTGCAGCTGTGCCATCTGTTTATCATAACTTTTGACCAGGGATTCCGACAAGATCTTGTTTGGCCTAGGCACCAAAAATGGCAATGAATTGATCAATGTCATTATGGACAATTCCACCCAAACATGAGTGATAAATTTCTAGCTTAGTAGGTGTCAAATTAATTTTCCGATACTCCACCAAATCTACAAGATGGTATCCGAGGATGGTGCAATACCACTGCCTTTCCAATTCTGGTCCTCACATCGCTGATCTTGCTGGTGAGCTGGCCCGCAACCTGGCAAGAGAACGGGTGGAGGGGTGAATGTAATCCACATATATATAATATTTATAATATTTATAATTACGAATATTTTATGATTAAAATACATATATAGCTATAATATAGCTATGGTGGGTATCTCTTTCCGGTGGTAAGATCTAAGAATCAGTTGTCATTATATAAATATATAAATCGATCAAATAAAGTGTAATTTAGTTACAAAATGTGGACGAACATGGGGACATAGGAACCAATGCATGATGCATGCATGCATGCATATGCAACCATGCCAGTTTTACCTTCTTGGCATCTCGGATTTTTTCCTTTTCCTCCTCGCGTTCCTTGCGTTTGTTTTCACGTTCCTGCTCCTTTTTCTGTTTCTTCTCCTCTTGCTCTCGTTCCCTTTTCAAACGCCGCTCCTTCTGAGCCTCAGTTTCTTCCTCCTTTTTTTCGCTTTCGATTTTGACTTCTTACGTTTTGACTTCTGAACATCCTTTTCACCTTTCTTTCCCTTGACTTTCTTCTTGGCTTTCGATTTCTTCGAGTCACTGGATGCCTGGCGGTATGTGCGTTATAATAAATAAAATATATATATATACATGTCAAGTCATATCGTCTGTGGTCCAGTCCTCAGAGGCGGAGGATTCTTTGTCAGAAGAGCTTGACGTGCATTTCTTTTTTGTCTTCTTCTTCTTCTTGTGAGTGGGTCTTTCAGAGCTAGCATCATCATCATCATACACATTCATCCCAGAAGTCATCAGCGTCCGTTCCTTTGAAGTTTCTGACTCAGAGTCCCATACCAGGTAGAGAGTCAGTGCCTAGGCAGTGGCGAAGGATGTTGATTGTATATATATTTATATATAATATATATATATATACAACCAAAAAACAAAAAACTGCGGGACCACATGGCATTGGGAGCTATAGTGTCATTAAAATGTTGAAAGCATGAAACTTGAGTCACTCATTTGGATTTCTCATCATCGATCAAGAGTATAATACGTTTGAAAATTAATTAATGCAAGCTAGCTACTTCGCACTTTGGTGCGTCTGGGTGTGGCTTGATGTGTGTTTTTGAGAGCGTAGGGCATTGTTCCTTTGCTGTGATGATGGCATCACAGTGTTCTTTGTTTCCATCATACTTCTTAAGTATGTCGCTTCTAGTCATCCACCTTCTGCAACCCATGGTCTCAGTGGATGAGACCTTCTGCAAAGATGTCACGTAGGAGCTGCGGGACCAGTCACCGTTGGAGTGCAGCCATTCCTCCCACAAGAGGGCGTAGGTGTCACGGCCTAGGCTTCAGGCACTAGGATTGACCATCAATGTAAACAATGCATGCATGATTCATCACCAAATATATATATATATATCAATTGTTATAATTGTATTTTAAATATATATAATACATATCATATACATACTATACTAGTACATGTATATATGATATATATATATATATTATATTAGTCTTGCATTACATTACAAACTTATAATATAATATGGCCGCTAATATTATTTTATGCGTCCAATTCCCGTATCCCATTTCTTTTACTGCCCCCTGTAGCCAAGGAACATCCTTTGTTATCCTTGTACTTCTGGACGATCTCTGGTGGGCTCAACGGGCCTGAATTCGATGGAATTCAAGGACACACTCTGTCTGGGGGATTGGGAAGATTCACAATGGTTGTGTTCAACTTGTAAATAAAGGGCATGAATGTTGCACACATGAACTCATGAATTATTTGTATTTATTTGCTAGTGTTTTTTATACGGTGTGAATTGTGCTAAGAATCCAACTGCGCAAGGACCGGTAGAATCTTTCTTTTCTTGCCTTATAAGCCTTAAACTTTGCCTGCTTTTCCTTCTCCACTTCCAACTCTTGTGTCTCTGCCCTTTTGAGTGCTGCTGCCGGATCTTCATCCTGCTCTTTATCCTGCTCTTCATCCTGCTCTTTTTCTTCTGCATCTCTGTCCTTCCCTTTCTTGTCTTTCTTCGTTTTCTTAGGTGGTGATGCTTTGCATTTGGCCTTGGCCTTTGCAGCTTTCTTGGGAGACTTTTTCACAACTGCTTTCGCCTTGGCTTTCGATGCCGCTTTTCCCTTGGCAACTGGTGCAGGGGCACGGGCAGCTGGCCTTTTCATTGGGGTTTCCTCTGCGGGTTCATCATCCTCATCCTCCTGCTCCGGCTCATGCCCCTCCTGTTCATCATCCTCCTGTTCATCATCCTCCTGTTCATCATCCTCCTGTTCCTCAGTGGCATGTTGTTCCTCTGGAAAATCCTCTTCATATGGTTGTTCCTCCTCCCCACCTTCACATTCATCCCCCAATCCTTCCAACTCATCTTCGTTTGCTTCCTCTATTGGGTCCGGTTCTGCATCCAAGTCCATCGACTCATTTTGGGGCTGGGCATCAGGGTACTTGGATTGGTCCAGGAAACTTTTACCACGAGGGAACAGTTCCTTTTGCAACCCTCCTGAGTAAGATTTCTCATAACGATCCGTTGCTTCCCTCTTCAGAGTCCGTGTGGTCTGCGGTTTGTCACCCTGATCCACCTTTGAAGGGGCAGCTGCAAGACCTGCAATGAGGGGCAGTTTGTTGGATTGTTGGAACTGACAAGCCTGAAAATCAGTTTGAAAAACTCCATTTGCAGTTGGCGTTGGAATCTGGCAACATGAGTTCAATATAAAAATAATAAATTATACTTGTATAAATGTGATGATCACCATGAATCACCTAAGCTAATATATATATATATATATATACACATGCACACCTCAATTCTTGATCAGGGTTCTGACTGGGGGTGAGCCCACCAAAAAGTAGTCCGTCCATGGGCACAAGATCACACAAGCATGTGCCATACTCGTATACTGCAGGAAAAGGATCTATCTAGATCTAACATGTGGGACACCAAATGATTGCAACTCCCGGCCAAGTACACACCTGGTGATTTGCCCCTGATCCTCGACGCCGGTGTAGAGCCCGGCCTAGTAGTCGACAAGCAAGGGTTAATCAATTACTTAGATCCTGGGAAATGACTTTCCTTGGACTTACCACCTGTATTGACATTGTGCAGTATTGATCCATTATTTTCATTCTGCGCTAAGACTAGAACGTTCTGTTCTGACCATGTGGTGCTGGAGTCTCAAGAGAATCATCATCATAGAGCCCCCGCCGCTTGGCCGGTTTCTCCGGAGCCACATTTGCATTGCCTGTGCCAGGAAGCTTTGCACTCAATGCCTTGCCCTTTGCCAAGAACAGAGCTGCAGCATCGGCCATAGCTGGCGTTGCCCGGATGCGATGTCGATCGATGGTAGCAGGGTCAATGCATAGATCGATACATATTATATACCACTAGCTAGACATGATAATATAATATATATTATATTATGTTTTTAGGGCTGGATAAATTCTCCACCCCCTGCAAATATTGTATATATATATATATAAATACAAAAGTTTTTTTTTGGCTGTGTTGCCTTGTTGACCAGGGCCCTACGGCTCATTCTTGAGCCCTGTCGTAGAGGATATGGCAAATGTGGGCCAAGCAATTCCAAAAACATTTCACACGTAAAAAATGGATTTTTGAGGGTGCCCCATTCCACGCCTCATTTGGGCCTTTCCACGCCTAAATTGGGCCTTTCCACGCTTTTTTGAGGCCTTTCCACGGGTATTCCACGGTCATTCCACGGCCTAACTTTTTTTTGGTTTACATGCGCAAAGGTTTTAGAATACTAGTCATTTGGGGTTCCACAAGACAATTCAGTTGGCCAAAGTTGGCTGGTGATAGCTGCCATGTTGCCATCACAATTAGCGCAAACCATAATTCTTTTTACAGCCAAGTCACGTTGAAACTTGCTAAATCGAATTGTTCCAAATGAATTTTTAAATATGGTACGTACAGTAAACTGCAATTTGCAAGGTTCCCACGCTGCAAATGCACCATGGGCAATTGTGGTGACCGTTCATTTTAAATTGGCCTATCCAATCCCTTTTTCAGGATTGGGGCATATCGACCCTCAGCAACCTCCTTCACCAAGAATCTGCGAATCGGCTCAAGGTCTGCATGCTCCCATTTGAATGGGTTCTCCACCTCCATGGACCACAAGCTGGTGACTTGGTGGGGTTGGGATGTTTGGTGGTATAACGCTACTAGCTGGCACTAATAATATAATATATATATATTATTTATAATTTATATATATATATATTATTTATAATTTTACGTTGATTTGATTTAAATATTGGCCAGAGATGTCTTTTCACAAAAAAAAAACCTCCCAATAAAATGATAAATATTCTCCTGAGCTGATGATATCGTTGTACACCACATTTGGATGAAAAAAATGAACATGGATATATCGACATTCATAATAAATATATTATAAATCCATATGAAAAAATTGAATCAACCCATGCCTGGGTCAAGTTCCTTGCTTGGGCACTGTACATCTTTTTCCGGAGGTAGCCGGGGTTCTGTTCCTGAGCCGGGCTGAAATCGTGGATTGGGAAGGGAGTGGGATAAGATTGGTACATTTTTTATATTCTTGCATGCGTGCATGCATGTGTAAGCCTCATATGCATTTGCATGCATGCATGAATACACGAATCATGAAGCCTAGATTCGACCCACTTGAGATGGAATTTGCAAACTGCATTACCAAATCTTTTGGGATAGGCTGCTGATGCACGAAGCTTTCCAGAGCCACACCTAGGCAAACCAAATTTTAAATGTTGATCAACGCACCCAGTATCCCCATTGATTGGCATATGCAATCGCTCTCTATATTTTCATTTCCCAATGGACAATGTTTCAAATGAGCAGATTTGCATGTGAAATTCCAAGCTGAAGAATCCCTGGGGCTAAGACACTTTCCATTCGCCATTTGAATTCATGTAGTGCCTGACAAGCTTGGAGCCTTTGCGCTTCAGCTTCTCCTTGGTTCCCTTCGAAACTTTCTTCTTGAAACTCTTGGCCCAAGGCCTCAAATGGGCCGGCTGATTATATATATATAATTATATAATAATATATATATTTTTTTACATGGGATTAGCAAATATATTATATATATATGGTCAGTCGAAGTCCCAGTATAATCAATTCGCCGCTGCTGAGGATCCTACGCTGTTCCCATTGTTCGTGTTGGCTTCAAGGACGAATGCCCCCAAGAGATCATGTAACTCGGCTCAACATGTGCAATATTTATAATGTGATTGAGATGTTGACTCAAATAATCATAAAATCATGATGCTTTCAAGGCTGTCGTCATTGTTTTGGACGATTGAGGGTTGGACAAGAAAGTTTCCATCCATGGGCAGCCGATAGATTTCAAGATCAGATTTACGTGCTCCACATATGGAAACCTCCTCATTAAAGAGGAGCCAGGCTGCTCTGTCAGTGTGTACACACATCGGCATGCTGCTAGCAGCAGCAGTAGGCACCAACGAGCTACCAGCCTCAAGTGCCGGGTCCATGCAAAGATGAGCTCATGATATACTAACTTACTACCAAATTATTTATTTATATATTTATTTATTTAGCGCTACCTAGATAGAGACCATTTAGAAAACCATCGAAAGGTTTTGCCAAATTCACCAATGCAACTGGTTGGATCGCTTCACGTACTCTGAATCCAGGTTGCCCCATAAATTAGCCAATCGCCTTCCATGCGTCCCAGAATTTAAGAAAATCCATGGTCCGCATGGCGGCCCTCCAATCATGCACCCATCCTCTTTTGTCCTCAAGACCAGAGAGATGGCTTTGATGAAACCGCCCCTCAGCAATGCGCCGGGTATTGCGCCATAACCATGTTTGGTCCCAATTTTGGGTAGTAAAAAACATGTCCAACAATTATAAATGCCATGGCACCTTCAACATCAAATTCCTCTCAGAGCTAGAGTGGAGATTGTTTCCTTTTGTGATAGATCATATTATAATCTAAATTTCGATCAAATTCATGAATAAAAAAATCAAACAAATACACCACAATTACATATCCCGACGCCACCATTGTATAAGTATACAAGTCTATCAAGATTGAGCTTGGCAATTGAGGCTTCAACGTGGTGAGAAGATCGTCTTCGTTGTGGATGGCCTTCTCGAAGTAGCGCCTCAGCAGCACCACCCAGCTAGCGCAGTTGGTCTGTGCATCTTTCAGTTGTTTGGCATGGGCGAGTAGCATATCATCATATCATGAACGAACGTACTCATCTATACATGCATATATATAATATATATATATAATATATTGTAATAATATGCACATATTTTTCCCCAAAAAATGGCCAATGGTCAAAAAATCGATGGGATCATGGATATAGATCTATAGATCGATTGATCTGATGATAAGTCATCCATCTCAACTGGGTATCCATGAATTAACCAGTGTGTCAACATCATTTGTCAACGGGTTGAAGATCCATGGAAACTACTATGATATTATATAGCAAACTTTTGCAAAACATGTTCGACATCTGAGCTTGAGAGTTGCACGTTTCCAAACCTTCAGCACCTTAGAGGGGCAGCACATTTGGAAACTGACATGACAGGGGCGAATCGGATTCATGAGTCAGTCGGTCAAGGGTTGAAGCTGTGCCCATGCCATCTTGAAAAGAGCCCTGAGGTTTGAACAGTAGGCATTGTAGCAGGCTTGCTTCCCAGCGAAGAAGTCTACCCCCATCAGATCCTGAGAATTCATGTGGTTCAGCCAATTCGAATTTCAAATCATGTGGGGGCAGATTTTAGATTTTTGGATGATTTTGGCTAAGAACCCCCACAATTCATTTGTCCATGTCAGATCTAATTAATGCATAAAAAATGTTGAATTTGAGGACGCTGCACGACCACGGGTCTCATGTTGGGCAATCCAGTCAACCATGTGCAGCCTGGGCGCCAGGCAGGATTAATATATATATATATAATATATATATATATATATACAAAATGATGAATAATGTAACGTAACACCATGGCTCTTTTTTTCCATAGTTCAATCAAGGGGCATGACTAGAGGAATGCCCATCTTCATCAATATCGTTGATGCAGATTTGGACAAGGCCAATGGGTTCCGTGTCCAACCCGGCATGGCGTGGTACGGTCAAACTAAAAGGGTCCCGGGCACGATCTCAGCTGACAAGGTTCGAGCCTCCACCCTAAGATCTGCACATGCACAGCGGTCGCTCAGCACTGGCAACCAAAGAGCCGAGGTTCAAGGGAGAATCTTGGCAATGAATTAATTTCTCACCCCTCCATTATTCAAGAAATATAGGAAAATTATATTCCGGAATTCCATCTTTTATATAGATTGACCCATGCGAGGCCAAGAATGCTTCATGATGATATACGTATGCATGCGAAGGGCATTGCAATTTTCGCCGCATTCCAAGCCCAAATCGCCTTGATCGATCGAAACAATATACCACTGTTTCAAGAGGTATAGTTCACAGGGTTGACACCAGATCAACCATAATTAAGTGAAAAAGGGTTGCATGGAATCTGCAACCAGCCCCAACCTTTAACAGACGTGTTCAGTCCACATCTTTGCCCCGAGCTTTCTTTGCATGTCGCTTGCTAGCCTGATCTTCAGCAGCCTCCTCCAGCTCGCGCTCCCAAGGTACACCGGGGCATTCGACCCACTGGGCTGCCATCTTTGCCATCTTCCACCTGAGACGAGGCCAGATTAGTGGTTGGGAATCGACAATCATGTATCATGCAATCGATCTATAAAACCTAAATTATATCTAATATATATTATATATATATAATATTATATTAAATTATGTTACTTCGATGATCTGTCAATCCATGTTTGTGCATCCATGCCAATGCATGATGTATGTATAATTTTAATTTAATAGATGCAAATTTCATCATTTGGGCCCCCCACGCAGTCTCTACACCACCATTGGTGCTCCAGTAGATACTCAGGTTTCCCATCGCATTGACCTGGCATGTGGGATGGTAAAATAGATTTATATATAACACATTCCTTCCATGGCCAGCATATATTATATAATTAATATAGTAAAAATTTTATTTGCATGATGCAAGGCCATGGTCCAATAGTGAAAATTGAAATTGAAATTCCTTCACCCATGGGGGCCTTCAAGTTGGAACTGAAATTGGTGTTGACACCAGTCACAGTAGCTTGGTCGATCTTCCTGATGAAAAAGCCGCTGGTGGTCAGCCTTGGGCATAATCGTCAGTAGCTAGTGGAATGGATGTTAATATGCATGCATGCATGCATGTTGTATACATAATTACATGTATATGACAGCGA